GCATTGCCGGCAATTACGGAGTATTCTTTCGGGCCTTTAATTAAGGAATTGCCAATACAGGAAATGATAATAATTAAAAAATATAATAAGCAGGTCAAAGGAAATAAAAACACGTTCAAGAAATTTGTAGCAACAAATGCATACATTTAAAAGAGGTTGAGGTCCAAACACGAGAGAAATAAATGGTTTTTTTTGTTTTTTTGTGTGTGTTCGGCATTATTGTTGTTGTTGTTTTCACACATATATATTTTATTTAGCATTCAAAATGTGGCACTTTAAAGAGAACCGCTGCAATGCAAATTCAATTCAATTTTTTGTTGTTTGTTTGTTTGTTTGTTTGTTGCATTGTTGGCAAAAGCTGGGCGCCATAATTTTTATAAAACAGCAATAGCAACAGCCACAGAAACTAACAATAAAAAAATACCAACAGAAGTGGCAACGACGACTGCAATAGTAACAATAATAATGTGGGGCAGTGCAATAAAGCTTTTTATGAATTTATCGCTCAAAGGAAAGCACGAACTGAGCATGAAATGAAAATTCTGCTATTCAATGGTGTGCGTGAGTGTGTTGGTGTTTGCAAAAAGGGAAAATCAAAACAAAGAGCAACATAAATTGCACAACTGATATAAAAATGTGTGCTTATCGAGTGCTGTTAATTATAATTGCTTCCAACGGATTACAAGAATATATTTAAACGTTAGAAAATATGATCAAAGAATCGGGATTTCTTAATTACACATCAAATGTATCTATTCGTGTATCCGAAAGCTGGAGGTCTTAAGAATATCGCGTAGATAGTGTTATGATTCGTGCCATACTGATAGAAACAAAAAAATAGTTGGTACACATTACGAATAAAAAAAGTACGTTCTACCATCATCAAGAACTGAGACCCTTGTTCATCAGCCGTGACTGAATGCTTTTAATTGATTTGCAAGACTGCTTTCTTAAATATCGACTTTTTGCCTCTCATTTGCAAAATGCGCATTACGTATACGCCCTGAAGTCCTAGCCTTCGGAGTTCTTCCATCGCTGTGGCTTGCACTTTAACTGATTTTCTGTGTCTGTGTTTCGCTGGAATTTTCAAGTAATTTTTCACGCATTTCTGTGGCTGTTTTGCTCTTCATTTTTCACACCGCACACATACACACAAACACACAACTATACAGAGACGCAATTTCTCTCACATGTGCGTGAGCTTGTGTGCGTGCGTGTTAAGCTGCTTAAATGTTTTTGCTGCTTCTTTTGGCCACATTGTTCTTATTCTGTTTTTTTTTTTTTGTATTCTGCATTTACAACACTTAAATTGTAAATAATGCCGTTTTTTTTGTTTGTGTGTCTGTGTATGTGTTTTTTTTTTGTCCCATGCCCAGCTTCGTCCTCTCGTCTTTTGTGTAATGGCCAAAGCCACTTGGAGCCTTTGTCAACAAATTTGCGTTTAAATGGCTCGTGTGCCGTCGTCGGTTTGTGCTTCGGATTTCTTTATTGGCAATTCATTTTAATGTATTCTTAAATTATCTTTATTTTTTCATTTGCAAGTAAGTTAAAAGTGGCAAAGAGAGTAAGCGAAAGAAGGATGGGAAGGAGCCTCTGCGACTGCCAATGATTAATGTGCAGCGAACTTATGAAATTGCTACCAAGTGGAGATTTAAGTGTTAAGTGCGAGGAATAAGAGAGAGGCTTCAGTTAAGCCCGTCATGCTGTTTGGGGTTAGATTTCAACAAACAATTATCCCAATGAGTTTTGTTTTCGAGCATACATACGGGCGTATGGTAAATGCTTAATACATTTGAAAACACTTTCAGATAAGTGCAACTTTTTACAAAAAGAGCTACCCATACAGGCAAAGGAATGTGCGAACCAATGGGGGAGACTCTAGGAAGAAATGACACGAATTACTAAAATTGAATCTCTAATGTGAGAAGAGAAATATATTTTAAACAATTCGATAAAATGCTTGCTTAAAAAATAAACAACAATTCCCAAAAGCGTATCATCAAAGAAAATGTTGAATTGAATTATTGAAAATTTCGTAAAATAAAAACGTTGTTCAAAAGAATGCATTTTTTTTACTTTTGAAGGGCATGCAAATAAATTATGATATTAATTTAAATATTAGAAGGCAAACCAGTTCAAACTATAAAGACTTCTTGGTTTAAAAGTTAAATCAATTTATGAATAAACTCTGTTAGAAACAAAATTGAATAAGTTCGATTTTTTCACGTAGATCGTTGTGGAACCACAACTTTTTAGAACATAGTTTAAGTACATCTTTTATCCACATTAAATCTCAGCTTTACCATGATAATCGGATGCTAGAAGGCGAGCTATCTCTACAAATATTACGATCGAACAAAGAGTAAATATAAAGGTATATTTTAAGCTCGATAAGGCTTTTTCTTAAATGACGACGAACATATTGGCAGCCAAAATTCCTGATTACGGAAGATGCGAAAACTCCCAAAATATATAACGTTTGCAAAGATGAAAAGCATAAGAAGTATACCTAATGGTATTTTTTTTTTGTTACATTTTTAAAGATTACACATTTCACACTTTAAAGACTCTAAGTTTAATTTAAGTTAAGCGCATGTATCATAAAGCTCCAGATTTTTCGGTATTTGTAAGAATTTTAGTTAGAAGTGTTTTACAATCTATCAGATTGGCTCTTATTTGTGGCTAATATGAGCAATTTCTATGAAATTCACCTCTAATCTCTGTATTATTATAGCTCTACAGAAACATCATTTAATTTCTTGCCTTCGCATTCAACTCTCTTCTAATACGCTCACATTAGATAATGAGATAATTTTCCAAAAGGAAGAAATCACCATTAATGTAATTATGCAATAATTAATTTGACTTTCGAACACTATTAACCAAAAACTGTAAATAAAATAAATTAAAAATCAATGTCACAATCGAGAGTTGCATAAATGAAGCTGTTTTCTGTTTCGATGTCAGCAGCCATTTACATAATAAATATTGTATGTGTAAAAGAAAAAATGAAATGAAACAACAAAAAACTCGTTTCAAACTTTTCAACGAAAAGAAAGTAAAGTTTCATCAGCTAGGCGCAGAAATTTTGGACAGCTGTGGATTGTGCAGCCAGAGCCAGAGTCAGAGCCACATCCACATCCACATCCATTTCAGTATCAGCATCACCATCAGCATCAATATAAGGGAACTGACAGTGCACCAGTGTTGGAAAATTGGACAAATGGACAGACATAGTAGTAGATAACAGTGCTGAGAGCACTTCTTTATATGCATGATGAGCGTCAATTGTGAGAATGCATATTTCATTTTTCCTTCTATTTTGACCATAAAAATGGACAAACTTTGGCCAAATTTGCATATTTATAAACACATGAAAACAAAACACCCACACACACACACACACTCAGACACATGCACGCACACATTAATGCATATGCAAATATATTCAGATACTCACATACATACATATACATACATATGTATTCGTATAGTCGAGTTTGTTTCTATAGCTGTATGCAAGGACGTAGGCAGGGGAGGGCAGGGGGGGGGGGGGCATTGCCCCCCTAGAAAAAATTTTGCCATATAAAGTCGACCACACGTTCATTATTATGACGCATTATTTCGCCTTAAAATGGATCTGAGTTGGATTTGTTGAAATCTTTTCATTGATAAGTTATATGTTAAATGCATTGTGCATTATTTAATCAAAATTTTAATTTTTTGGCCCCCCCCTTTGGTAAAAGCTGCCTACGCCCTTGGCTGTATGTGTACGCCGTTGGCGAATCGTTAATTAAACGAATAAAGCAAGCTGGGCGAATGCAAAACTTACTTACAGTTGTTGTTGTTGTCGCTGCCGCTAATCAAGTTGGAGGTCAGTTTGGCGGCAACAAAACGCTTTTCTATAACATACATATATATATGTGTATGTATATAGATAGGTATATGAAATATTACGTAAAAAACAGATCGACAGTGAGAAAAAGAGAGAAAGACAGAGAGAGAGAGAGAGAGAGATCGAGAAAAAAGTAGAGAGTGAAAAAAAAGTGAAACCGGATTATAAAGCCAACTTCCAGTTTTGTGGACGCATACTTTTCTTTTCGATTTATATTGCGATTACAGGCAACTACAAACATATATATAGTTGTATATATATACAAGTATATATATATATATATATATATATATATATATATATATATATATATATATATATATATATATATATATATATATATATATATACATGTACTCGCACTTATGTATATCTATACCCATATATTTGTACATACACTTGTATTATGGCCACATTGTTGAGCAGGATGTGCGGCCAAAAAGAAAATAAATGAAAAGAAAACCAGAAATAAGTGATTACACAACCTGTTGACAGTTGACCTTGTGCCACAGTTGGCGGGCGGCAGAGTGAGCGAGTTGCGATAAAAAAATTTAAAAAAAAAACGAGGCAGAAACCAGTTGCAAATGAATTGACAATTGCATTGATAAGAGCAAAAGTCAATGAAATGACAATGTTACCTAATTCGTATAGCGTCCAAAATTAAACAAGAAATACAAGTAAACACACACACACACACAAACACAAACACACTGCACACACACACACACATATGTATATATGTATATGCGAAGAGACAACCAAAGCGCCGACAATTTGGTCTTCAATTAAATTTTTGCATCGTGTACATATTTCTCAGTGCGTTTTGTTCACACACCTAATAATAAAAACAAATTAAGGAAAAAATAAAAAAAAAGCCACAACAACAACAGCTACGACGAGCGTTAAACAGAAACATGCGGAAATATTTTTTAGCGCATTGCTCACATACAGTTTTGATTTCCTAAAAACACACATACACACACACACACACTCACATACCAAGAGGCACGGACGCACGCACATTTGTAAAAAAAAGGAGAAAAAAAAAACAGTTGCGGCTTATAAGCTGCAACGTCCGTACATCGAGCTCCTCCCTTCCACTTACCGCTGGCGCCCACAATCAGCAAAACAGCGACTAGGTGGTGCAACATTTTAACAAATTTTTGTTGCTGCTTTAATTCGCGCTTCCTCGTTCCTAGTTCTCGACTAGTTCGGGCACTGTTGAACCGACACAGCCACAGACTACGGCTGATGGACAGTAGATACTACACAAGAGCGACAATAGCCACGCGACAGACAAGACACGTCCACTGCGCACAAATGCAAACCGCCAACTGAACGACGAGAGCGTCAAAGAAATTGCAAGAAACCGTTGTCGGTGTCGTTAGGCCTGCGCCGTCTTCTTACCAGCTGTCGCTGTGGCCCAAACCGTTCGTTGGCTCTGACTTGAAGCTGGCTGGCTGGCTGGCTTGGCTTAGAGCGTGAGCCCAACTTTATTAGCTGCGAGCGCTGCCCCCTTCAAGCGCCCAAAGCGTCCCAAGACATGACGCTCAATTCACTTTCATTTTAACTGGTTGTTAACGATGACGCGCCGACGCCGACGCTGATGCCGCCGCCACCGCCACCGTCACCGCCGATGCTGATGCCGCCGCTAACAGCGTCGTCGACAACAGCCGCCGCACCACCTCACCACCATAGGAGCTGGGCCGGTTTATTTGCTGCGCATGCGTGCGCATTTAAATGAGCCGACTGTGAACCGGCCGTTGTCGCGATCCAACCCGCGTTTCCATTAACCCATGATTGACGACAGTCCGTACTCACACATGTGATGAAATCTCCAATCGAATCATGTCATATCATATCATATACTCGTATTATATGCTGCACTTTCAATATTTTCTGTTTCTGTACTGTTCCTAAAAGGTACAAGGGTGAAGTGAAAAATTTAGCAGGCAGTAGAAGGTGCGGCAGTTCCCACAAAGAATAACCCCGTATATACAATTTTAATCAGCTTGACAAGATAAAACTTAGCCCATGCGTACACTCATAAAAAAACACATTTAAAATTAAATATTTACACGTAGATTTAAATTCAATTTCAAGCTTAATATAAGAAATAGTAAATTTGACGATATTTACTCACTGTGGATATGCGGATGTGGGTTTGATTCACGTCAAAGGTTTTTTTTATAAATATATTTATATATTAATGTAGAGCATTTTTATTAGAAAGGAAATTTCCACATTCTTTTGTTATTGTAAATATTGACGTTTTTCGCTATTTATAGTGTAGATCAATATTGATCAAGAGAGGATAATCTGATTGATTACACTTAAATAACAGCTGAAAGCCGACTTCCGAATTCTAGTGAATGTTTGTCTCTACACTAAAAAAAACAAATGTAAATTTATATATTTACAATTTCGAGTTTTATATTAAAATATTAAATTTAAAGAGTGACGATATTTAATCAAAGTGGACGTGGGTTTGATTAACGCCAAAGGTTTGTTTTTTATAAATATACAATATCTACTCTTCTAGTAATAATTGTTTTAAATAATGATCATTTTGTAAATACACATTATTATATAAAGTTATTTATATGATAGGCGATTTTTACAGATAATTAAAAGTGAGGAAATGCTGATTGAATACACTTACTTGACACATCCTTAACTACCACATAAGGGCTTACACTTTGAATTTATACAATTCTAGCCAATGTTTGTCTATAATTTATATGGTGAACAAAATTCTATTAAGCTATTGAAAATATTTAAATTTCATACTATATTTTAGTCAACTACAAAAACTTCAATTTAGAGCTGAGAAAAATATTAAAATTTATTATGGAACATAGTAAATTTAACTATTTCTAATATGGTACAAAATTAAATTGTTTCGAATATTATTCATATTTAAATCAGCAATTAAATATGGTTTTAGTTATATTTACGTTTTATATATTTGATTTAAATACAAAATATTAGAATATAAAATTTAATATGAAAATATTCTTTCTTTTCGAGTTTATAAAAACCCAAACCTCAGAGACCACAGGTGCTAAAGATACTTTTGCACACAGATTTTATATGTTTAGTGTCTTATATACAAGTGTACTTGAACTCCGGTGTAAATGGATACTATTAAAACAGTTCATAAATATATATACATACAAGCTAAGTTAATCGGATGAAAATTGTAGATTTTTCATACAAACGTTGGAGCCTGTTTTTCCCGCTTTGGAGCTCGAATTTTCCTTCATAGTGCTCACTTTCACTGTGAGAGGCATCTAGTGTCCAAATCTCAGCTTGCTAGCTCTTACCGTTTGGACTGTGCTTTGATTGGCAATCAGTCAGGACAAACTGTTTTATATATATAGAGAGATGACTCCACTTATGTGCGGAATATTTATTATTTAATTAAATCAATTTAATTTAAAAAATGATGAGATATGATGAAATATTTAATTTCTTTTTTCGTGTGGGAACAGGTATGTTTTAAAGTATGTAAGTTTTTTTCAATTTTGTTTAATTTTTTAAACTTACATAATTTTTCTACACATAGGTACAGGGTATTTAAAAGTGGTATTTAAAACTTCTAGCTGTAATGCCACGAAGTTTCTTATCTCTTCAAGAAGATTTACTTAAATCGATTTATGTTGCACATATACATACAAGTATATGTTACTCGTATACCCGGTGCTGTAAATATCCAACTTGATAGTAACTATGAACAATATTCTCGATCGCAACAATTAATATCAAAGAGCTTTGGAAATATTTGTTTAACGAATATTTATGCTTGGCAATTTAAATTTTAAGATTTTGAATAGTTTTCTATATTTTATGTATACTTGTATAGTTTTACCATTTATATTTTCATTATATACTTTGTAAATTAGAAACTTGTCAATATATACTCGTAAATTATTAATAAATAATTGTTATTATATAATCAAAAAGTAGTCTTATTGTTTTGGAAAGGATCGGTCTGCAAAAACTATAATCGGCTCTAGCTGTAATTCACATGTCCAGCTTTGATGACAGAAATGTTATGGGTTAATGTTGCTGATTGTGGGCCATTTGTTTTTGAAATTATATTACTTATGTAGTATTATGTGCATCATACATATGCATGTCAACAGGAAAATATTATTTTTTGTGGACTTATCAACACATCTATCTGCCAAATACCCAAGTAATATCCAGCAGGCAGTAAAATTTGTCAGGTGGTGGCCAGAAACCAAAACATAACAAAACTCGCATTTAATTGTCTTTTCATGTGTGCTTTTGTGTGTGTGCGTGTGTGTGTGTGCGTGTTTTTGGAGTCTTTTTGAATTCTTGCGGCAAGTGTTGAATAATTTTGGGCTGCGGGGCATTTGAAATGCGAGCCGTTTGCTCTCTGTCTGTCTGTCCACCAGTCTGTTTTCCTTTGTCTGGGGGCAAGTGTTTGCATATCAATGACATGGTAATTGATATTACAGTTAGATGTGTAGAACTATCAAGATCAACAAGCGCATATTAAATGACGCAATGCATGAAGTTGAAGTGCCAGAGGCAATGTCTGGTGCAGAGTGCAGTGTAAATGAACTCCCAAAGAAGTCAATAGAGGCGACTACAACGTGCGGTTGGGAATAATGGAAGGCTTTAAGTCAAGAAAACTTATATAATTCATTTGTGACATTCTAAGTATGTTCATTGGAAGCTCTAAAACATCAGTAATCTAGTTAAAATTGTAGTACAGGGCACGACTCGTAAATTACAAATGTTGCCTTCAAAGAAGATAGTGCGAGAGATGTTTATTTGTAAATCGTTTTGCGTTTGCTCCATATTTTCATAGCTTGTACCCGAATGTTGAAAGGACAAATTACGGAGATTAAGTGTACGGAACAGGCCGACGGAACCATGGTGCTTCAGAGCTGCTTATGTGTGTTTTTGCTTGACAAGGCAAGGTTGCTCACAAGCCATTCCTTCCGTATTTTACAAGTATAAAGCCGCCATAATAATGTTTGGTCTGTGTTTATAAAAATGTATTCCATAGTTTCTTCAAAATTTGTGCACTTTATCTTAAAGCTACCATAGAAACGATCGGAGGAAGAACTTATTTTAGGAGTGCCACTTTTTTGATTATAACGATATATCATATATCCTACTAAGAGTAATTTTCCTACCGATCTCTCTTATAGTAGCTATATAAAATAATAATGTATACGTATCATTATGGTTTGTAATTAATTCGCACTGCATGTGGACTATAGAAGGCTTCATACCACGTTTGGTGTCCCCATCTGTTCATAAGGACATGGGACATGTCTATATCGATTAGTATTGTTCTGCTGACCACATAAATACCTTTAACATGAGTATGACGCCTCCTTATACCTGTTAAGTGCATTAGGCACTTACACTATCTAGGGTAAAGGGCAACAAAAGATTTTTGTATACATATATATCTATATATATGTACATGTTCTTATTTGTAAGCGGAGGCGGACATGGGAAACATTTGCATAATCGTTGACGATTAAACTTAAAAGTTGGAAAGAAAACGGAGCAAAATATTACATAAAAAATAAATTATGAAAAGATTCCTAAGCAGTATCTGTAAGAACTTGCATTTAATTCGATAATGTAAAATCGTGATACTATACAAGTATATATGTTGAAGATTCCTAAGCAGTATCTGTAAGAACTTGCATTTAATTCGATAAAGTAAAATCGTGATACTATACAAGTATATATGTATATAGCATAGTTTCAACCACTATTTAAAAAAAATGATGTACTACAAAAGCTGGCTATAAAAGGTTCCCTAAATAACATATTTCATTCGTTGAAGGCAAAATCATGATGCTATATAACTATATACATATATAGCTTCAACCACCATTTCAATAAAAGGTATCGCAGTAGTGGCTCTTATTTTCTCCACCTCTAAGTTTTAAAATATATTTCATCTTATACTATTTAAGTATTTTAATATTAATTTACTTTTTTAATCTAATCATACTTCTTCTTTATTTTTATTGCTATGTCTTCATCTCTATTTCCATAGCTGGCTGTTTAGTAAATAAAATTCTCCACCGAGTCGGATTCGAAATTAGATATTTATGTAATTCCTTTTGGATTTTATATTTAATAATTATTTAATAAATTAATAAAAAATTATTTTCAATTAATCAACGCTCCGGTTAAGTAAATAAGTGGTTGCATGAAATTGTGTAGCGGTA